CCGTCGGCGCTGTCGGTCGGCGTAGGAGCCGACGACCAGGTGCTGCTGCGCTGCTGGCACGGCTGCGAGGTCGAGCAGGTGGCGCACGCGCTCGGGCTGGAGCTGTCAGAGCTGTTCCCGCCCAAGCCGCCGCAGTTCCACACCAGCGGCAAGCCTGCCCGGCGCCGGCTGCTGAGCGCTGGCCAGGCGCTCGACCTGCTGGAAGGCGAGATGACGCTCGCGATCGTGTGCGCCGCGGACATGGCCGCCGGCCGTGCCCTTGATGAACCGACACGTGCCCGCCTGCTTCAAGCCGCGGCCCGCGTGTCCATGCTGAAAGACGAGGCCCACGCATGACCGTGCAGGCTCTTGATGATGCGATCAACGCGGCCGGCGGATCAGCGGCTGTCGTCGATCGCGACCTGCGGCGCTGGGCCGAGGATGACACCCCCGCGCTTCCGCCGTTCCGGCTGCTGAGCGTCGCTGACATCCGCGCCCTCCCGCCCGCGCTTGATCGCGTGCATGGCATCTACCCCGTGCAGGGGGTCGGCGCGATCTACGGACCGAGCGGCAGCGGCAAGAGCTTCCTTGTGATCGACCTGATGGCCGCCGTCGCCGGCTCTGCGTCGTGGTTCGGGCACAAGGTGCGGCCCGGGCGTGTCGTGTACGTCATGTTGGAAGGCGCCGCCGGCCTCGCCAAGCGCATCCGAGCATGGGAGGAAGTGAACGAGCGCCCCTTCCCCGATGGGGTGTCCTTCCTGGTGGAGTCGTTTCGCCTGCTGGACAGGGACCACGTGCATTCGCTGGCCGGCGCGATCGACGCGCTGGGCGGCGCGGACGTCGTCGTCATCGACACCCTGAACCGGGCCGCGCCGGGAGCGGACGAGAACAGCCCCGAGGATGCCGGCCGCATGCTTGACGCGCTGCAGCAGCTGCAAAACATGATCGGCGGCCTGGTGCTGGTCGTGCACCACACGGGCAAGGATGCGACCAAGGGCATGCGCGGGCACTCGTCGCTGTTCGCCGCGATGGATGGCGCCATCGTCACCACACGCAGCGGCGATGCCCGCGAATGGGCCATCGACAAGGTCAAGGATGGCCGGGACGGCGACGCCCATCCCTACCGCCTTCGCGCCGTTGAAGTGGGCGAAGACGAAGACGGCGACCCGATCACCTCCTGCGCGGTCGTGCTGCCAGGCGAAGGCGAGGAACTTCCCGAGCTCAACCGCCCCAGGCCGCCGAAAGGCGGGAATCAGCGCATCGTCTATGACGCGCTCGGCCCGCTGTTCCGGGAAGCACACACGTTCGGGAAGGCCGGCGCGCCAGCCATCCGGCCCTGCATCGAGCTGGAGGCCGCTGTGCTCAAGGTCCGTGACCGCCTCACGGTCGAACCCAAGCGACGCACCGAGCGCGCCCGCCAGGCGATCACCGGCCTGGTGGCCAGCGGGGTCCTGGGCTCCAACGAAGGGTGGATATGGCTCGTGTGACCTTTCCCGAACTTCCCGAAATGTCCCGAAACGGGCCGCCGGGCTTCCCGAACTTCCCGCGCTTCCTACGGAAAGCGGGAATCGGGACGGTGGGAACCGGGACGGGTGGGGGCGTTTCATGAGTGGCCAACCCGCAGCCCTGTCGAGAACGTGGAAGGCGGGCCGCTACACGGCAACGCTGACTGTCCCGCCCGTCAAGAACGGCGTGCTGCATGCCTCGATTGAATGGCAGCCCCACGTGCCGCGCGATCTCACCCCTGACGAACTGGAGGCCTACAGGCTCGGCCGCGACCGGGCATTCCGTGAACTTGGGCTGTCCGCCCTGATCCTCGAACTTTGATGGAGAACCTCATGTCGACACACGTCACCCTGCCCGTCACCCGCGCCTTCGCGGCCTCGAACGTCTTCACCTTCACGACCCCCGGCGACGCCGCGAACGGCATCACCTCGACCACCTGGGCGCCGGTCCTGGCCGAGGTCGCAC